GGAGAGCTGTAGAGATGCTACAAGGAGTAGGGAGCAGATGGGGAGTAGGTAGGAGAGATGGACAGTAGATAGAAATAGCAGCCAAGGGTTTCTGGCCACTGGTTTTGTGCTGGTGTGTGAAGACCGTGTGCTGGCGCTGCCGGGGGGGCTGCTCTTGACCCCTCCCTGCACTCTCAACTCTGCCATCCCGGGAAATCTCAGAGCCACTGGCCATATCCCCTGGCACCCGCCCTGGGGAGGAGCCGAGAGGATGAACAGGCTGAATCCCTGGGGCCCAGCAGAGCTGCCTTTGATGCCGTCAGGACGGGAACCGCGGAGGGCATGAGGCCTCCTGAACTCCATGACCGTGGTGGTGGGGAGGGGTGTGAACAGCCAGAGTCCTGCCGCGGCGCCTGGCCGTGGGCTGAACAGAGCTGCCCTGGGACCAGGGATGCCACCACCTACAGCCAGGCCAAGGGCTGTGGGCGGGAACCCGGCAGCTGGGAACTGGGTAAGGGCAGGGCTACAAGGGCTTCCCTGAAGGGTCACAGAACTGGCTGCAGGCTGCTGGGGCAGGGGTCCCAGGGTGGGTTTCTGCTGAGCATCTCTTCTCCTCCTCCAGCTGCATGTAGCAGGAGGGCCTGGGGGCAGCTGGCTTCTCAGCCTCCTCCTGGCAGCTTCAGGCCCGTCCAGAAACGAGTCTCCCTCTGCACCACCCCCCCTCACCCCCCCTGTATCTTCCCCCCCTCACCAGAGAAGCCAACAGGTCACCAGCAAAAAAGGGACAGTGTGAGGAGAGGCCAGTTGCCTGCGGGCAGGAACCAGGTGAGTGGCTATGAGGGGCTTACAGAGCCATGCCCTGTGCCTGGGACAGGGTGGGGACGACCTGCTGGCCAAGGGGTGCCCAGAGGCTGCTGGAGCTCTGCCCCCCCCCCTTGCCTGCTCCTGATCCAGCAGGGCCCCTCCAGCCACAGCCTTGGCCTGCAGCCCTGGGAGGAGGGGAGGGGGAACAGCATCCTGCAGCGGGGCAGGACCTGCAAGCACCTGTCCTGGCCATGGGGATGGGAGAGGGGGATCCAGTCCCTGCCCAGCTCTTCTGTGCCCTACCCAGGCTGATCAGCCTGAAATACTCTCTGCAATGGGCAGCAGGCCCCAGGTCCCCAGGTGCCCCGAGAGGTCAGGCTGGGACTCCCCTGATTCCTGCCTCTGAGCATCTCCTAGAACCCAAGCCTCTGGGGTCTGTGGGTTAGAGAAGGGGCACCTGAGGCATGCAATGTGGAGGGGTTTGCTCACAGGCACCTGGTTTGTGCACACATGTGCATGGGCACATGGTAGCATGGGCATGTACATGTGCCCTGGGGAGGAGCCTGAGGGTGCAGAGATGTCTGTCCAGTGGTGTGTACGTGTATAGTTTGGTGAAGTGTGTACGTGACCTGTGAGCCCGTGTTGGTGGCTGGTGTCTGTGCGCCAGCAAGTATCTCTGAATTAGAGCACCTATTACTATGGGGCGACACTAACCAAAAGTTGCACGGGCTCGGCTCTGCTCTGCTCGGGCCCTTCCTGCGTGCAAAGATGCAGACCTCAGAGGAGCAGGCACAGGGTAAACATGAAGCTGTGCACAGGCGGTAAAATGCAGCCACATGGCTACTCCCTCCACTTAGCCCAGAAGGGTTCATATGCTTCGGGTCACTGCGGGACGAGGGCTCTTGCTGTGCACGGGAGGGTCCTGCTCAGCCTTGAGGAAAATGCTGGCTGCCTGCTCCCCACGGGCCTGTGCCTGCGTCCCCTCCCAGGGCTTCCCCAGCCTGCTGGGAGCTGCAGAGGCCGAGGGGCAAAGCCCCAGTGTCTCCAAACCAGCAAACAGCCCTGACATCCCCTTAACCTCCCTCTGCAAGGGCAGTGCTCCTCTCAGGGCTGTGGACAGTGTCCTTGCGCTAGCCATTTTCAACCCTCCCAGGACAGAAGTGAGATAAGGTGCAACAAGGGCCCTAATAATAATGCTGATGTGGAATCAGTGTCATGGAAGCCCCTGGGGACTTTCTGGTTTTCCCCCTCTGTATCAAACAGTTTTTCTTCAGATTTTGCCATTTCTGTCACATTTGTGACTGTTACAGAAATCCCCTTTTTTCTCCATGTATCATCTTTGCATGGATCATGCGACGTGGAACAAATCCCTCAGATTCCCGCCCCCCACCCACCCTTTACCCCTCAAATTATTCTCTCGTTACATGAAATTTTCTCAGGGTTGGCCCCTGCCCCTCTATATCTCAATTACTTGATCAAGCCACTTCAGACTTGCCTATTTCATTCCCTCACCAGGACCTTTGCTAGCAGTAACAGTATCCTCTCGCCAGACATGGGGGCTTCACACCCCTGGGTTTGGGAGAGAAACCATTGCCCTGGGTGGTTCCCTCAGCCTCCGCCTCCCCCACCACCACAGAGACCACAGATCCCTCCGTTTTCAGGGCCCCCCATTTCACACTGGCAATCCTGGACTCGCCCTGCCCCATGCCACCTCCCTTCCCAACGCTTCCCAGCTGTGCCCCTCTTGCACAGGACCCGCAGCTCAGTCTGTTCCTTGGGGTCTTCCCCGAAGGCAAGTGCACTGGAACCGCAGGGACGGTGGGGGGCTGCGGCAGGGGCAGCAGGGAGAGGAGCTGGCCAAAGGTTGCATTCAGGGGGTGGCAGCTTTGTGCTTGCCCCAGGGCTGCATCTGTAACCCTCATGCACCAAGAGGGGCACAGTTCACATCTTGAGAAGGTCGGGGAGAGGCTCTCCAGCATGCTTGGGGCGAGGGCAGCTGCTGGCAGCCATGCTGGGTGTGCTAGGCCCAGGGTGCACTGAGGGGGGCACGGTCTGGGGGGCCGTAAGGGCCTGTCCTGTGCAGAACACGGACTGACCTGGGGTGTGCAAGCTCTGGTCCTTGCTGGCAGAGGGACAGGGAAGCTGCCCTGTGTCCCAGGAGCTGAAGAAAGGTGAGGGGGGATTTGCAGGACTTTTCCCTCAGCCAGAGAGGGGCATCCTGCTCAGGGCACCCGCTGGGAAAGAAGACGCATGAAGTGGGGTGGATCCGTGCGGAGGCTCCAGGGAGGCGGGCGCAACCTGCTGCTCACTGGACTTGGCACAGAAGGAGCATCAGGAGTGGGGAAGCTGGTGCAGTTTGTTCTCTCCCGAGGAGTGGTGTGAGTCCTCACGCTTTCTTTGTAAAAGTTTCGTTTATTGTTTCTTATTCATTCACCAGCGTCCTAAAAAAAAAAAAAGACATTTGGACGGTTTTTGTATTCATTGTTCACTGAAGAAAGGCAGCAGGCTGCAGCACCCTGCAGGCGCAGGCACGGCAGCGTGGGGCAAACAGGCTGCGGAGGAGGCTGGGCCACGAGGTCGATGGGGGTGGCAAGGGCCACGGGCGGTCGAGGCTAGGCGCCCGCAGTGCAAGTGTCGGTGGTGCCACTCGGGGAGCCCAGCCAGGCTGCGAGGTGCCAGGGTAGCCCTGCCGCACAGTGCCGCCCACCTGGCTGCAGAGCCTGACCTCGCGGATGGACAAGGACCGACAGACCCGGCCCAGCAGCCCCACGATCACGGGAGGCCTCCGGGTAACTCCCAACCCCACCCCCGTGCCAGGCACTGCACCTTGTGGGGCGAAGCAGGGGCTGTGAGCTAACCACTGAGCCCCACTCCCTCTCCCCAGCCAAGGAAAGGACCCAGGCACCTGGGCCCCCCACACATCTAACCTCTGAACCCCACTCCCCCCCAGCACCAGGAAAAGGACCCTGAGCCCTGGTAGCTGCAGGGCCCAGAGTGGGGGCAGATATCAGCTGCCCTCATAGGGATCCTGCCCCCCCATCCCAGGGCAGGAAGAGGTTGCCACACAGAGCTGCCCACCTCCCCGAGGTGTTGGGGGTGCTAAGCCCAGACACCTGGGTCCTTTTCCTGGCACCTACAGGAGGAAGTGGGGATCAGCCTTTAAAGGGGGTGTGGGGGGGGGGGGGGGGGGCAACACACCTGGGTCTCCGAGGAGTGAGTGGGGATGAGTGGCTGCATCCTCTGCTCTAGGAAGGGGGGGAGTCTACAGCAGCAGGGGGCCAGGATACCTGGGTCCTCCGTCCCTGCCCCCGGGGTGGGGGGCCACAGTGGGGCCGAGTGCCCCAGCCTTTAACCTCTTCCTCCCTAGGGCGGGCTGGCTGGCACCCAGCGGCCCGGGGTAAGTAGTACTGGGAGACTGGTTCTGACTGGGAGCGACTGAAGCCCAGCTCAGGGCCCTGCCGGGGGGTCCCACGCGCTGGAGGCGCCCCGGGGCCCGAAGCGAAGGGGGCGGAGGTGCTCGCGCCCATTGCACAGACGGGGAAACTGAGGCGCCGCG